GCGGGTAAGCGCCAACCGGCCTGCCGGGAGAGCCCAAACTCCATGAGCATTACTACATGCTCGAAACAGAGTACTGTTACGTAACTGCACATCGATTATGAATATGAATTCTAATCTAAGGAGATGGAACCCATGCTCCTTCGTTTGCTAGCCACGATCTAAAGATTTTCGAGAAACAAACCGGAGCTTATAGCCCAACCAATTTGCCGAGGAGAGCCCAACGCCGACAAATAGGCAACAGGCATACCATGATCTTCAAGCAATTCAAAGCGAGCAAGCTGTGCGTATCAGGCTAAAATATAGATGTGACCTTGGCTTGAACCACATGGTGATGAGAACAGTGTTAGTAAAAAGCTCAAGAGCAGTAGAGTTTAACATATGCAAAGTTGCAATAAATGGCTGCTAATCAGTGCATGTTTGTAACTCAATCAGGCTCATTGCACATATCTGGAACCGCGCAGTCATAAAAGAAGGGAAGTTAGATACGTTGAACCTGAAAAGAGTCATTCAATCTTTTTTTTAAACTTTCTTCTAAAAGAGGAACTATCAGTACATGCCAAATGTATGTGTGGTAATTTTTGTGGCATTTTTGATGTGGTTTGGGCTTCTAAGGACTTTTCTTCTAAGGACTTCTTGACGGAGATGTTATTTACCGAAATTTATCGGGCCTTCAGTTTTAAGTTTGACCACAAACTTTACGCAGATCAAACCGGCGCGAATTTTTAAGTCCCATTTTGTAGAGCTTGCTTTGCTCTATGGTTGGTACCTCATTTACTTAATTTCGTGCTCGCTTTGCCGCGATATTGCATTATAAGCACAAGCGACATTATTTTCCGGACAACCATATAGATCATTAGATGTATATTTCGACTATTTCGACTTTCGATTATTTCGACTTGTTTTGGCTTCGTGGTAGTCCATGGAGCGAAGGCATTTGATGGTGAAAAACGCGGTGGTTAAAGTCTTGGGATTCTGAATTTTTTACTTGAGAACGATACGGATTTTCCAGCATAGATTTAGTAAAGGTTATTGCTTTGATACAAGTATTAAAGATTGGCTTTTTTATCCTTAAAACTAACTTTCATATTTGAAAGCGACGCTTTCAGCGCTAAGTACTGAAAATTGTAGCAGGGCTTCAAGAGTGTAGATGTGGACGTGCTGTTGACGGTACTCATACCCACTTTACATGGTGGTGCCTTTTTGGTAGCTCAGGTAGGTGTACTGGAATTAACTGTGAAATTAGCAGTACGACAATTAGGTATGTTGCAATAGCCAGCGAACTTATTTTGGTGAGGGTATGACAATTATCAGACTTCCGATTTTGTTCTTCGCTTGTCCAAGCGTAGTATTGTCTCATTCCAAAAAAACATATAGAAAAGTACAACAGGGAAATCTCTAGTTGGAAGGGTGTTTGCCATACTCAGAATAGAATAAAATTGGTTTTCTAGAATTGGTTTGTAGACAAAGCAGTTTTTGCGGACTAATGTTCGAAACTCATGTTTCACTGTTGTTGCCTTTTTCAGCCTGCTAGTCGATAAGCCAACAACAGTTTTTGCTTCAAATCTTTCGGAGAGCGAATAACTTTTTCCTTAGGCCTCGGGCAGAGTTCACGCGATTTGATCGTCGCGATTGAATCGCGACGAGGCCACTGTTGCGAGTTCATTGCAAGCCGACCGGCTTGCATTTCGGTTGTGATACTTCCAGCCCGAAATTTTTTAATGTAAAATGAAAATGAATGGAAATCGCGGCGATTGAATCGCGACGATCAAATCGAGTGAACTCTGTCCGAGGCCTTACAAATCCAACTCAAGCGACATTGAACTCCAGCAAAATTATAGATAGAAATTCCGTAAGGCTCGTGCTCTAAGCGAATGAGGTAATTCAAATTTCTTGCCCAATCCCTTCAGGATAGGGACAAGCAGATGTCCTCACCAGCAAACTAAAGGTAGACCAAAATTCCCTATTCTAAATTTTGTGAAAGCCGAACTGCAATATCGATCGACTTCAGAAGCCTGATTGTGCTGAGTGGATGTGCAATGGAATTAAAAAAAAAGTCGATAGATTTCGATAAAATACTTGCCATGCGAAGTCTCTGAAGGGAGCCTTTCGGACCTGAATTTTCCCCGCAAAAAGAGCGGCATTGTTTTTATTCATTAGATAGGTTTCAAAATATTCGCCATTTGACCCAACAGCCACCGAAGGGAGCTTTATGGACTTGTTTATTTTGCAAGAGGAGCACTATTTACGTCGTTTACTACTGATAGCACATGAATAACATTATAGCGGTGTTAGCGGTGTTTGGAATTTGACTATAAATCTGATTCCTTCATAGAAAAGATTTTCGAAAATGATTCTTCATTCATTGATTTTTTTATATGGAGCGTACAAATTGCAGCTACTCTTGTGCGATATTGTACACAAGCGGTTGGCTAAAAAGTAAGTTCGTTTTTGCATACAAATTGTCATAAAAAATTTTCTTGTTGTTTTCAATCTACGATTTTTTGTGAGAAAGTAGTTCGAAGCTTCCTCTATCACATATCAAATATTCAGGATTTTCTATCGTCAGTAAAGACAGTTATGTCTCAACATATCGAAATTTCCAAAAGTTCAATTCTTTCAGCTTCGTTTCTTGCTGTAATGAATGTAGAGAACAGCAGTTTGGTGTTTGGATACAGAGGAGTTATCCCTATTTAATGAACAACAAAAAGAAGTGTGATCTGCCATTTTGAAAATGTTTCGCTAAGAAAAGCAAATTTCCTCATATTTGCGCGTTATGGGAAAATTGCGATTTTTCACTTCTTTGCGAATTTTTTCCAGGGAAGATAAGTTTCCCTCAAACGGAATATATGCTCCAATACCCAGTGAAGTGCTCTTTCTAGAAATACCAAACATTAGACAAAAATTTGTCTACAGCGTTTGTAAGAGTTGAAAAAGCGACCGAACTTATTTATTAGCCAACCTAATATAATGATATGAGTACATATTAACTGTTACTGTTACATAAAATATTAGCGAGAACTACAAAATTCAACGGCGTAGCAGAACAACTTTTCCCATACTTTTACTCTCACGTAATGCGTGAAAATAATTCTTCTGAGAGGATTCTTTACTTCTCGAGGCTTGGCTTGGCCTTTATACTGTTCAAGAAATGACAAACTGTGAACCTTTGTGGCAGAGACTGTGAGGGTAGCCAGAAAGGTGATAGATAAATAATGAGGAACGTTTTGCAAATCTGGTATTCGATGGAGTACCTATTAATATTGTTGCTTTTGGAATCTATACGTTTACAAAGCGATCTCCTTAGATGACTCGGCGTTCTAGGAAAAGGTTTCATCCTTAAACAATCATTAAGTGGTAACGGAATTAATGCAGGTTTTCGCGCACCTTATGCTGGTTTAGAACGGAAAACTATTTTCCTAGAGAGTTTTACATACCATTTGAGAACTCTTTTCTTTTAATTCCTCATGCATTCTTCCATTTCAATGGAAGAGAATTCGTTTAGAAATTCTGTGCTAGATTCAAGAGACCAAGTCTTCAAATTTTTCTTTTGTTGAAGCTGCTCTAACGCCAAAGAAAAACGGAATTTTCTGCAAATTTACAGTGTTTTTGCTTGGGCTATGTTACAAAATGCATATCAAATTATGGCTTCTAAATGTTTCTAAGCCGAAAAATTTCAGATCAAAATTTAACGGTTGCTGCGGTCCTTCTCCCTAGAATCCTGTATATAGGGAGAATAGAATTAGGACATTTATAACTGAAAGAACCAGGAGCCGTTCTCCCTTTCCAGCTATGAAAGAATTCAAAACTTCTGAAAAGCAGTTTTTACCTTCTCAGAGAAATCGAGGTAATTCAAAGAAATTTCAGATATCCTCTCGAAATATTCTTTGTAAAATTCGTTAGCGCCGCTGCACAACCGACTGTTCTGATGATTACAACGTTTCAATGCACACGTAAAGACTATTTGCGTAGAAAGTTTAAAAGATCCAAACTCAAAATTCAAAAACCTGTAATTTTGTTACAATCTAATATTTTCTTATTGTTAGATCTAGCCCAGAAAGAGCAGCAAGCAGAAACTGTTGCCACTGCTCAACTAAACGTTTACTGCGCCTGCCGAAAACGTTTATGTGTAGTTTGCGGAACTGGTTACTAGCAACGGGACGGGAGCCGAGTTGTGGAGATGCGAATTACGCCGCGATGAATGCGCAAAGTGCACCCGCCATCGGTACGGCGCACGCTAACACCCGCGCGCTCTGTGTGGTCTAAAGGTTGTCTTCAGTAAGGGTCAATTCAGACCTGAATCTGAAAATGATGAGATCGGGCGATGAGTAAAAGTGAGTTACACCGCACGGATCGTGGGGAACGCAACTCCCCACGAAGCCCGAGTCTGAATCAGATTCCAAAAAAAAAACAAAAACAAAAAAGGTCGATTGAATAGTACGGGTGTTCTAGGTAGAGTAACCCAGAAAGCGGGAAGTTGGTCTAACTCACTCGATAGCGCAGAAACATTGGCATTCCTGCCATCTTTCCAGCTAAACAAAAAACCGATTTTCTGTGTCTTCACTTGGACCATGGAGGTGATTTTGATACCCGGTGGTTGCTTGTATCCCTCAATAGCGTGAACGGATACCACAAATTTAACAACAAGCATAACGTTTCGAAGGGAATGGAAACTAAGGCTATGACGAGGCACAGGAAGTGATAACTTTTTGTAGTCCAGAGTTAGAGCCGAATACTTCGCATCAACCAAATTGAAAAATTCAACTTTTTGTCACAAAAAGTCTATATTCAAGAATTCTTAGTGTCCTTGTTTCAAATCCCGCCGTCCAGAATTTTCTCTTTGACCAGAAAATTAGTTGATGCCCAATCAACTTCCCAAATGAAACCGTCAAAAATCCTCGGCCAATGTAGAGACTGCACCACGGTCTCCACACTCGATTTGACGTCAACACAACCCAGTTCAAACTTTAAATTTCGAATTCTGCGTAAAAATATCTTGCCTTTATGAACGAGTTTAGGTTGTTCTCTCGCTGTTATCATGGCCTTGTTTGCTAGGTGATGGAGCCAGTTTTATTAGGCATTGCTGAGAAGCACTTCATCGCGCAAGGATTCGCTGATGGTGTTCGCAATGATGGCCGTGGGTTAGTTTTATGTCATTGAAGTATTTCCCGATTTGATCACGTTTTTAATTTCAGTATTGACGATTTCCGCCCGATCTGGATCGAAAGCCCTGCTCTGACAACAACGCACGGGTCATCCAGAGTGAAGATTGACACAACTGATATTTTGGTGGGCTTTTGATAAGGAGGTTTTTTCTTTTCTCTTTCTGAATCAATATATTAGGTTGTTACATAAGTCTTGTTACACTTAACTTCTAACGGCAATAAGTCATACACCTCATAGTCTTTGCAGGACTCCAAGGTACCATTCGATAGAGCAAAGCAAGCTCTACAAGATGGTCTGCAAAGGTTCGCACCAGCTCCGACCCACCGTAAGTTTGCACCCAAAATCTGAGTCGTACCGAAATTCAAAAAATCGCGAAAAATTCATATCTTTGTTCAAACAATTCCTACGGATCTCCAACTTGCTCACAAAAATTGCCCACTATATCAAACACTCATATGTACCGTTGCTGTATTTTTTTCTTATCTAGAAATCGAGAAAAAGGATTTTTTTTAGTTTTTACAAAAATGAAGCTATGCTGTTTCTATTCATGTAGCTGTATACTACGAGCCCTTAGAAGTATAACCGTAAGTTTTCAGCCTTTCAGAAGCTCTGGTTTTTGAAAAATACCAAATTTAGCTTTTATCACTCGGGTGTTCAATGCTAAATTAGGTAATTTCGAAAACTAGGGCTTCTGGGAAGCTGAAAATTTACGGGCATACTTCTAAGAGCTAGTAGTATACAGCTACATGAATAGAAACAGCATAGCTTCATTTTTGCAAAAACTAAAAAAAATTCTTTTTCTCGATTTCTAGATAAGGAAAAAATACAGCAACGGTACATATGAGTGTTTGATATAGTGGGCAATTTTTGTGAGCAAGTTGGAGATCCGTAGGAATTGTTTGAACAAAGATATGAATTTTTTGCGATTTTTTGAATTTCAGTACGACTCAGATTTTGGGTGCAAACTTACGGTGGGTCGGAGCTGGTGCGAACTTTTGCAGACCATCTTGTAGAGCTTGCTTTGCTCTATCGAATGGTACCTTGGAGTCCTGCAAAGACTATGAGGTGTATGACTTATCGCCGTTAGAAGTTAAGTGTAACAAGACTTATGTAACAACCTAATATATATAACTGTGTGTTGGGAGACGCATAGTCATGTTTATCAGACAATGGTAATCAAAAATCTTTTTATAATCTTGGACGAAGGTTGGACCGCCAAATTTTACAGTTTTCATTGAAAAATTGGCACTTCACTTAACATAACTGCCTACAAAATGATTTGATTTTCACCTAATGTCTTCGCAGTCTGAAGCATTTTTGTTCTTTCAAGTTTCGATAATTTTGGATACGTGCTCGTGAAACCATGAAATTTTGCAGCTATGAAATATTCAATTTGTTATTATACCAGTTTCGCAGTTATTTGCTGGTCCAGTCATGCACTCAGTTTCTTTGAGTTTTCAATTACATGGTTTTCCAGAAAATTCAAGTATATATATATATATATACTGTCCAAAAATACGGTTATTTAATGCTTCTGGAACTGCACCAGTTTCTCGTTTTCAAAAATAACAACCATATGCTCTTTATCCCTTCTTATGGCTATTCACAGGTAGGCGTGAAATGCGAAGTCCTGGAATGTGAAGACACTTCTTTGGCTCCGAACTGCCTGCAGTTCACTGTCGATCCATCTTGCTTAGCAGCGGCTCGCACCGAAGGTGATCGTTTGTTGTCCGCCCAGTAATCAATTTAAATCCGTGTGACTATTTAGCACGAGGTGGGGAGCTTTTCACTGAAGCAATCGAGGCTATTTTGATGGAAGCTTACCATGGTAATGGAGACGTTATTACTAATATGGACAAGTTCGTTTTGCTTGCATCCTCGCCGTCTCATATCTCAAATTTGTGATCATCTGTATTTATTAAGGTTAATTCTATCGAAACAATTTATGTGGAAAGTTTATGTGGACATCGTCATACAACAGTATGGAGGAAATGTTCTTGATGCCATTTTTATTGCTGTGAGTAAGGTCTTCCTGACTTCTGTTTCTATGTCAGCAGTTCCAGGTGAAAACTGCGCTGCTTGATACTCGCATCACACATCTAGCATTGGTTGCTCAAGATGAGGGAAAGTTTAACATCGAATGCGATGAGTCTACAGAGACTAACTTCTTTCGACTTGAAGCTGCCAAGTCAGTAGTCTTTTTGTTTTGTGGTAACGCTTTTCCTCTCGCTTCCTTTGTTTTGCACTTGGTTAAATGCAAGAGTTTATCTCTTTTGCACACCTACTTAGCCCTGCTGGGGTAAATATATGGTAATGTCCCATGTGCTTTGATTTTCGTCCTCTAGTATATTCTCTTGAGATTTTGTAGAGGGATAAATCTTGGTGACTCTACGGTCTAGTATTATATCTATTATTGTCTCTTTGTTTTTTAAATCGCTTCTGAACCTCGATACACTTTTGTTTTGAAAATGCCAACAAATTTACAGTTCTTCCTCTGCTTGTCAGTTTTTGGAGAGATGCGAGAATGGATGCTCCTTTGTTTTTTAGTGCTCCCTTATCGATCTCGGTAAGTCAAGTTGGAAAGTCGATTGCGATCGATTGCACAGAGGTTGAAGAGACGATAATGCGGACTGCACTATGGATCGTGATGGATCAGCCTGAAAATGAGGTTAAACTCTGCAAGTTCCTGTTTTATTGGTTGTTCTTTGTAGACGGTAGCCGAAGAAGAGAAAATAGACTTGAAGTGAATGAAATGCGTATGCAGAATGTATATAGAGCTGCAAATCTGTTTTTCGTATTTTCATGTGAGCACGTCGTTTTTGTTTTTTCCCTCTATATAACTGCGCACATTAGAGGCGCCTTCAACCTAAACCTGATTGGTGAAATTTTTTTTTGCGGAAGGCCTTTAACTAAGTAATTGCCCTACCAGTTTTGAGGCGAACATGCCGGAGAAGGTTGAGGGCGGCGGAGGTACCCCCCCCCCCTCTCCGTTCCCATCAGCTTTTGTCGTGTGAAGGTCATGAGAGCGGAAAGGGATTCCAGAGTATTGAAACAAGTCGAAATTTGTTTTATATATTACGAAAGGGGTATTTTGGTATCTCTGTTTCTGGAATCCCGTTTGCTCTACAGTCTCTTTCAACAAGATTTGGGCCAATCTTACGCGCAGCTTCGCTGGAGGTTTCACGTGTTTCACATCTTTGGTATTTTGTAAGCTAAAGTATGGAAGAGAAGTAACTGTCATTGCAATAGGGCGCGAGCTGTTGCGAAGCAAGTGTACGCCACTTCAGCTTTGGCCTAAAATGGCAGAAAATGGGTGCGGCGACCTCTATCGTACCTAGTTGGAGCGACTTTCTTATAACTTTTGCAACGCGACATGGGCAAACTCTAGTATGAAGACGTGCCTTTGATACATTGCTTGAATTATTGCAACTTGCGATTAGGTAGACGCTTGGGCCGTGGAACTGTTTCGAGAGAGGAGTTAGGAAGAGCAAGGAAGAGATTCCATGTCTTCATTGCTAATACTGTTAAGCTTCCTTTTGGCAAATCATGATCAACGCTATAACCTTTCAGAGAACTGCGGACGAATGCGTGCGAATACGCGTTGTGAAGCAAATGTTCCCTGGAGGTATCGACCCTCGGTCACTACCGGCTATGCTCGATCTGGCTGTTCGAAGCGGAAGAAAATTACATGCTGCTGTGAACGCAAGATTGCAAGAAATTCGTGAACAAGACGACTCCGTCGTACCTGGACGATCATTTTTCGTGGAATGAGCGCTTTGCGCAGTCAGGTCATCGTTACAATTTATCGGCGATTCACAACACGCAAAGACTGGACGCCGTTGCGTCCGACCAAGATAGCTCGTACGTGGGAGGGACAGCAGATGGTAAGGGAAACGAAAGAAAGTTTGATCACAGAGACGCCTATAAGTCCGCAGTCTTTGCCTGCGATGAATCGCCTATACAGTTTGATCTTATATGACTTCTTTCATTAGTCTCAGTGGTTTTTGTTGTTGCTGACTTCTATTGTTTGTTGTTGTTTTGGACTCAAATCACCTGCCCTAACTACCTTTTAATGATAATCAAATATTATCCGATTCTATACTTTTTTCGCTCGCATTTGTGATAACGCATCTCTTGTATTCCCGAGATACAACGAATCTTAGCTGTTCTGTGGTTGTGAGTTGTTGAGATGCGATCTCTTTCGTTCATGTTCAACATTCGTCATTCGGCATATTGGTGTATTGTTATAAATCTCTATGTGATTTTCAGCATAAAATAATGCCTATCTGTTCAACATCAAAGGCGGAATCACGAAATTGAACAGCAAAAAATGAAATGGGTTTTCTTTTTTACATTGCTCAAAAACAAACAATTCCTCTTTACAAAACAAAAACAATTCCTGTTAAAGGCAGCGTACACCCAAAATCTAAGTTAACCGGTTCTCTATAACGTGTATATTTAGGGCCCAGAAGAAGACCGACTGCGTGGTCCGGTCTCCCAATGTTGCTTCTGAGCGGAGATAACCCACCTGATTTTCTTTTCTCCGCCCCTTTCCTTTCACTCCGCCTCCTTCGACGAAATCCACGTTAGCGTAAGCTGCAGTTGCCGTTGCAGTTGCTGTTGCAATGCTGTTGCAACTGCAACTGCAGTTGCAACGGTGCAGTTGCTTTTTGCGGTCCGCCTCCTTCAGACGACGAATCCACCGCAGCATACGCTATAGTTGAAGTTGCAACTGCAGGCTGTCATGCAGTTGCAGCTGCTCCTCGCTGGCATGCCGACGGGATCGAACGATTCGAAACTCGTCCTCCCTGTGAAGAGAGGGTCCCCGGGAATGGGGTTCTTTGGGACTTTTGGAGGATTTTAGGTCATAACCGTGATCAGGGAGGAAAGGCCCCTGAATGACAAAACATCGAACGCGAAATTTTGGGCGTACGTTGCCTCTAACAAAAATGAACCTGTAAGGCCCCGGTCAGACTTCACGCGACTTAATCGTCGCGACCAAATCGCCAAGATTTCCATTCATTTTCATTTCACATTCAAAAATTTCGGTCTGGAAAAGTATCACAACCGAATGCAAGTTGATCTGCATGGAATGATGTTGTAACAGTTGTCTCCTCGCGATTCAGTCGCGACGATCAAATCGCGTGAAGTCTGCCCGGGGCCTAACGCGATATTCGGTAAAGCATGGTGTCATGAGTAAACTTCGAGAGGAATTCCCCTGTAAGAATTTCTGTGCTTTGTATACATCGAATCCAGCACTTAATATTTCTTGATTCCAGATCAAAGTGTTAGCACATCTGTACCCTAATTTCATGCGTACAAGGCCACCTTTTCGATTTTCCAAGCAAGCCGCACAACCGTTTCAAGTGTTTCAGAAAGCGATCCTCATGCTGCACTCTTTTAGGCAATATACATCCCGGTATAGGATCCTTTGCGAAGTCTTTTGGGGTGTTTGGGCTAATCGATTTTTAAAATCCCCCGCGCCTTGTACGCATGAAATTAGAGTAGCACAGGCCAGCTTTCAATATATAGGCTGCTGCGACGAAGGCACAATATCTTTGGGTGCGAACGCAGCTTCATAAGGCGCAGCGCGCATGAGATATAGTGCTCATTTACAACGGTGAAGGTAGCGCGCGCCACGCTCGCTTCCGCTCAATTAATACCGCTTCTGCGCCTTCGTCCTGCAACAGCTTTTAAGCATCAAAGAATTGGGGAGGAGTCAGGAGTCACGGTCGGCGCGAATTTTTCGCGAAGCGACGCCGCGAGCGATGTCAGCAAAACAGAAGCTAGCACTCCTGGCAAAGTCTTACTTATGACACGAGCCATGTATCTGCCCCCACCCCCACCCCCCTAGACTGGCGCCGTGCCACTTTTGCACCGGGCAGTTTTGTGGGTTTCAAAATTTAGACGCGACGTTCGCGGCGAAGCGGCGCGGCGCGCGGCGTGACTCCTGACATGGAGCCAAAGAGTTCAGCTGGCGGAAGAGTTTATCAAAGTTAGGACTTGGGTTCTCAAAAATACCTCCTTGCCCACATTCCATGCTATAAGCATAAGAGGAAATGCAATGAGTGCTACATCCTATAACAGTTCCTTAATCGCGGTTGGTATTGTATTTCTAAAACACCCATTAATCTGAAAGCATTAAGAAGCAAATTATTTGTCTCCGTGGTACTTTGCTTCTGCGCTTTGGACATTACCCTTAGCTTTGTGGATGTGATCTTTCTTCTCTCCTACATCACTACCGTGAAGTATTCAGATCTTCAAGAAAAACCTCCCATCCATTTTTACATTTTTGCTCACTGCCATCTTCTAGTTCTAATTTGTTGGGCTGTTAAGACTACAATCTGAATGCGATTTGTTCTTACATATGTAGTTTTGATCTGCTTTATGTGCGTGGACGACAGCAAGCCTTCTCAAAGTACTTTAAAAACAAGCTACTTCGCAAATTTTGTCATACGCTTATGCACGGCCCATTCTCGAGAGATTTGGGCACGACCCAAAATCGAAGCTTGACAATCAGTGAGCTCTCTGGAAACTACAAAATTTGTGACCCATGCTTTTAGGATGGCCAAGTTTCACAATTTTTTGAATTTCTGTATCGTTTCTATATCTACCCAAGGAAACCAAGTAATGGATGGATACAGCAACCCTATAGGAAGCAGAACGACTTTTTCTCTTTTCCGCAGCCCGCCATAACTATTTTAGAACTTTATTTGATGCTACCGAATTCCATACTTGGTCACTTCAAACCTCGTATAACAATGACAGCTGAGCAACTCGGGAGTCATTCAGTGCATTCCCCTCTTTCCAATGGTTTTTGTTTCCGATTTGTCTTCGGAGATAAAATTATAATATTTCATGTTTTCAACGCTTTCCGGGCTACCCGAAAAAATGAGATATGATATTTCGAAGCTGTGAACAGTCATTTGCTTTGTAAAATTTGTGCTACGTCATAGTCCCTTCTTACAGGTTCCAAATTCTAGAGATTTGTTAATATTTGTCGCGAATGTGTCAAGACGGGCGCTATTCGGCTATCGGGCCCCAAAAATTTTTTATCATGGATTTCGCTCAAACTTGGCCCAGAGGGGTTATCTGACATGCTGATCACGAATATCACCTTTTCTCCGCAGGAAAATGCCTCCCTGCAGGGTTACGGTAGGTATACGGTAGGGGATCAAAATCACGGATTTGCCCGAAACTTTGTCTAAAGGGGTTATTTGGCATGCTGAACACGAATATGATGTTTATCTCGTGCGACAGCGCCATCCAGTGGAGTTACGGTAGGACTACGGTCAGGGCCCGGCACGAGTAGGTTTCTAAGGTTTCTGAAAACGAAGTCTCCCTTGACTTTCGGAAGTTTTACGAAGTCCCCTTTGACCTACCTGCTTAGAAGATGAAAACAAAAATTATTCACTAGTCTGAAAGAAAAAACGTGGGATAAGAGTGAAAATCCAAATTGGAGCTGAATAATATGCATGCACGAGATTTTGGCATTAGAGCGCGATATTTAACAAAGCGAGAAAAAATGAAGGCAAAAACCAAAGGAAAGACAATGATATGAAAATATCTTCATGCTCAGGGATAGATTTTTGACCGGGGAATCCATCCATGCTAAAAAGATCCAAAACTTATGTGAAGTGACGAAAATATATGCTCCAGACGATCTCAGATCGTCTGGTGGCCGTCTGGAGACGATCTGATTTTGGAAAAGGTATTAATTCACATAAGTTTTCAAATCTTTTTACATAATTCCTTCGCAAATAATTTGCTATACATACAGTCCAATTTTGGTGTCGTATGATTCTGTGTGCGCTGTAAACAAGCAATTTGTTTATTTGAGCATTGCTTTCAAATCGCGCGCATTTTTCGCCATGCATGATAGAGCATGTCAATCGTGTGATAACCTGTCCGAAAAGCTTGTGTTCAACTAAATGGCGCTTATGTTTGGTGCTCGGTTCTAACTCGTCAAAAACGATATCTCCTTTGCTGTTAGCTTCAAAAACGAAGTCCAGCCTGCTTCCAGACGATCTGTGCCGGGCCCTGACTACGGTAGAAGGTCAAAATCACGGACTTGCCCGAAACTTGGCCTAGAGGGGTTATTTGGCCCGCTGATGCCAAATATCACATCGGTTTTGAACCATAGCGTCATTTTCTCGGGTTACGGTAGCTACACGGTAACGGGTGTAAAGCATAGTTCTGCCTGAAACGGGTGTACGACGATTTGGACGATTGTGAAGCTTTACACACGACCACCGCCGCGCGCTACACACCCTACTGCGGCTTTTGCCTAAGCAAAGCACAGGAGATACATTTGCCGATTTGTGATTTTGACCCCTACCGTAAACCTACCGTAACCATGCAGGGAGGCGTTTTCGTGCGGAAAAAGTGTGCGACATTCGTGATCAGCATGTCAGATAACCTCTCTGTGCGAAGTTATAGCGGATTTTGAGATTTTGACCCTGTACCGTATACCCACCGTAACCCAAGAAAATGACGCTACGGTACAAAACCGATGTGATATTGGCGTCACGGGGCCGAATAACCCCCTGGGCCAAGTTCCAGCTGAATCTACGATTTTGGTCCCCTACCGTTTACCTACCGTAACTTCACCGGATGGCGCTGTCACACGAAATAAACTTCATATTCATGTTCAGCATGCCAAATAACCCCTCTAGACGAAGTTTCAGGCATATCCGTGATTTTGACCCCCTACCGTGCACCTACCGTAACCCTGCAGGGAGGCGTTTTCCTGCGGAGAAAATGTGATATTCGTGATCAGCATGTCAGATAACCCCCCTGGACCAAGTTTGTGCGAAATCCATGACCAAAAAATTTTGGGGCCCGGATAGCCGAATAGCGCCGAATTTTGAAAAACTGTCGCT